AAACCGTTCCAAAAAGAGAAATTTTTGTCAGAAATATAGCATTTAAGAATAAAAATGACCAAAATAGCATTTAATGTTTTACCAAAAGAGATTAATATACACTTATATCCCAATGATAAATTAATTTAGACATTAGAGTTTAGAGTTAAGGGATGAGATTTAGGGTTTGGGTTTAGAATTTAAGATTTAGAATTTAGGTTTTAGGGTTTAGAGTCGGGGAGTGGAATTTTGGGGATAAGATTTCAATTTTTGAAAAATAAAAAAAAATTAAAATTTTCAAAAAATAAAATGCTATTTTGGTCATTTTAGTTTTTGAGGGCTATTTTGTGACATAAACTTAGAAATATACTATTTTGGAGATTTGTCCTTCAGAAAATCTGAGATTTATTAAAATATTATGTACGACCAAGTTTATTTGTTATCAAATATGTTAAAAGAGTAGCAAATTCCAATAAAAAAGACATAACTATATAAACCATATAAATAGAAAATTACATATAGTTGTAGGCAATATGTTAGAAATGACCAAAACAATGCCTGAGAAATTGTAAATATCAGCGATCTGCTTTAAAAGTTGTGGACTAGGTTTAACACTTGATAACTCAGAGTTGCATGATTCTCCGTCTGTCATCGCAGCCGAAACTTTAATGTTTAAACTGCTATTGGCCTTGGCTTCCAAAGCTTTGAGGGCTACATCGAACTCGCCAAGTGCATTTTTCGGAACGAGGATCAGCCGTGCTTTTTGCTAGTTACTCGAATTGCTTTTGTGTGACTGAGGCATCTTGTGATGCATCATTGATCAGAAAAATCTGCGACACCAGAAAGATTCAGTGTTTTAGTTGCAGGAGTCGATTTAAAAAAGTTGAAACAACATGAAGGATTCTTTGCTTTTGAGCAGATGGTGCTTATATCACCTTTTGAAATTTGCATAGTGAATCTTCCACAAGATGATGTAACAAGAAGCACAAACACTACCAAATAAATCAACGAAAAAAAAAAATTCACATACAAACCCATTGTTTATGTCTATGTTTTTAATATGATCTAGGATATATTTTCTTGTAATTCATTTGTGAGATATATATAGACTGAAATAAACTATACCAACAGTGAAGATAAATGTCAACATATATTTTGTTTGGTAAACATGTCTGATTTTGTACCATAATATGGTTATATCTACAAGAAAAACTGTATATAGCCACAAATTAGTAACAAAAACTTTGTGGCTAAAAAAAAGAAAATGGCTACAGTTTCGCAGCTACAAATAACCACAGAATGGCAACGAAATACACTTTGTAGCTATTACATAGATATTTGTGGCTATCTAGCTACGAATTACACTTTGTGGCTATTTGAAGAAAGCTACCCACAACTAGTAACAACATTTTTTTTAGAAATCTATATCCACTATTAGCCACAATAACAATCGTGGAAATAAATAGATACAACATAATTTGTGGCTATTTGTAAAACACTGAAACTTTAAACATTCTCTAAACCCTAAGCTTTTTTGTCTTATTAATAAATTTTTAGAAATAACGACAAACAATATTTGTTAGAAAAGAATCCACTACTAATAACAATTTTAACAAAATTGCAAATATAATTATTTTATACACTCTAAATCTTAAGTATACCATATAACTAAAATCCAACACTTAAAAGTTTGAAAAACATTTATAATATTTTCTACATGAAATTTAAATTTGTAACTTAAATTAAGTTATGAATTATGACTCTTAATTAAAGTTCACACTTTAAGAAACTTTAGTTATAACAAATTAGATTTACTAGATCTTTTACCCGCGCTACGTGCAGATTGTGTTTTATAACAACAAATTAAATATTTATCTGTATATGTTAAAAAAAATCAACTAAAGATGTAAAATTTTAGATTTAGTAGAAAATGATTAACAATTCGTTGTAGATGGTAATACTACATATAATACTTAATTAGTTTACTATGAATTATTTTGGAAGAGGAATGGTGTTACCAACCTTAGAAATGTTGTTATCTACAACAAAATAATACTTACTATGTTTTTTTTTATCAGTTAGTTGGTGTTATACTAGAAAATTGTTTGATAACTAATTTTAATAAACAGGAAAAATTGCATAATAATATCCCAACTAAATTGCATTAAGTTTTTTAATACCCTAATTTTTTCTCTATCTAGTTTAATACCCCAACTAATTATTTTAATTTTAATACACAAACTTTTATGAATGGTGTCCCTTTTAATACTCAAAATTTGTTTATTTTAATAAAAAAATACTAAGAATTTTCAAATGAAAATTTTAAAATCTCTAAACTTTACAGAAAATTCTAATTTTATTTTTTTGTTTGATAAATAAAAGTAAATAAATTTTGTATAATCTAAATTGCGTTAAGTTTTTTAATACCCTAATTTTTTCCCTATCTAGTTTAATACCCCCAACTAATTATTTTCATTTTAGTACACAAACTTTTATAAATGTGTCTATTTTAATACTCAAAATTTATTTATTTTAATAAAAATACTAAGAAGTTGCAAATGAAATTTAAAAAATCTCTAAACTTTACAGAAAATTCTAATTTCATTTTCTGATTGATAAATAAAAGTAAATAAATTTTGTATAATCTTAAATTTTTTAATAAATGTTTTAATTTTTAAATATTGAATTTAGTTTGTTTTCTAAAATAAAAATTAATTAATTTTTTTATTAAAAATTAATTTTGTAGAACTTTAAAATTTTCTCCATAGTTTATTTACTTTCTTTCTTAAATTTTCAAGTAAAAATAGAAATTTTATATATTTTTGTTATATTTTGGAGATTTTGTTTTAAAAAAATTGAAATTTATTAGTAGTTTGGGAATTAAAATGGATATAGTTATAAAAATTTGTTTATTAAATTGGGTAAAATGATTATTTGGGTTATTAAACTGGGTAGTGAGAAATTTTGGGTATTAAAAATCTTAACGAAATTTAGTTGGGATATTTTTATGGAATTTTCCCTAGTAAATACATAAATTTTTAACAAAAATAAATGATTCTATGTCAAATTTTTAAATCTTAAGTCCTAAGGTTTACACTTTATTATCATGCTACATGACATATAACTTATTTGAAATATATTAGTTAACTAATTTACATACATTTTCTTTTGTTTTGTGGTCCAGAAGTCGTTTTCATTTCCTTAGCTGTGTATTTGTGTTTGATGTTTCTGCAATTGATGTTGTTATGAATTCAATTCCATTTTATTTAGGTTATAATCTTGGTAAAATATGGCAAACTCGGAAAGCTCATACATATATGTAAGTCATACATATATTCATATTTTTGAATACACGTGGAATGAAAATAACAGTCTGTAAGTAATATATGTTGTTTAGTTAGTTCGAATATTGTTACATGTAATTTTTGTTGGATATAAATAGGTGGGATGAAGCTGGTCTCCATAACAACCATTTATTTAATTTTGATTTAAGATGATCACCAAAAATCTGATAACATTAAAGAAGGTTAATAGTGTAATTAGTTATTAAAAACTCTTATAAATTATTTTGAGTGAAATTATTTATATACTATAGAAAAAAACTATTTTGGTATTTTATCTTATTAACTATATATAATAGAAGCTGGAATTCTTATATATTATTATTTTCAGTTTTTTAAGAGTTAGTGTTAATAAGGAAAAATGTACATGGGTTGATAGACATAAGATTATTGTGTAAGAAAACATTTGAAGATTCACAAAATTCCAAGATACGATAATTAACTAAATGAAAACATTTATATTGAACAAACATAGTGAAGTAAAGTAATTTGTCGAGAATTACTTACTTGGACATTAAAAGTATTAGTATTTGCAGATAATACTTACTTTGACATTAAAAGTATTACTCTTCAGTTTTGTAGTTATATATTGACTTAAACTAGAGAAACTGATTCCACGAAAAAATTACACAACTTTAAGAAATTTCATATTTATAATGAATAATATCTAAATTAAATACTCTGTTTTGGTTTAACAAATTAAGATGCATATAATTTTTGAATGTACAAATAAGATTAAGTTATTCATCAGACAAGAGGCATTTTTGACTTTTGAAATGTTGAACCTCGTGTGATTTGCAAAACTTAAGAAAAAAAAAGAATATATGATGAGGGAGAAATAGATCTAAAACAATCCTTGATAACAGATGCAAAATGTCATTCACGATGATATATCTGAACTCTCTTTTAGCCACTTCAGTTCCAGCTACTCCCTTTGCAAGACTTAATATCGGCTTGCAAATTCATTGAAAAAGTCGGAAAACATTGAGAAAGACACTTGGCAAAGAGAAACTTTTAATAATTATACATTTTGATGGTTAATATTTATACACCTCATGCAACACACAAGAGCATCATTTGTCTCATCTTCGGTGACTGCAACAACATGGCCACGTTACTTGGAGATAGTACCAGCATAAGCTTGTCATCTTGACTCATTCATACGTGAGGTAACCAAATCAGCTTCTATATAAGCTGTTACTACTATATCAGATTACAATACCTGACGCCTCTCAGGGAGAAATTATAAACTGAGTGAAGCCTGAAGACAGACCAGCCTCTACAGGAAATTGGCTGCAGCATTAATATTCAGTCTTGAAAAGTGGTGTTGTGAACATTACCGATATTTTGTTGGTAATATTGTCCTTTCCTGCATCGGTTATGGCGGGTTTGATTTTTCTTTAATGAGAAAAGCACTGAAAGTTTGGACGTTATCATAAGTAACCACACGGACATGAAAAAAAAACAAAGATATGAGCATGCAACGTTATTAGCAGACCAAGAAAGATAGTTTGTGCAATGGGTTCTACTGTCGGAGTTGGCGTTAAATCCATTAAATTGTTTGTGAACTATTTTAACTACCTATGAAGCCAACTATTTTGTTTCATAGTGTTAAGGTTTTATTCTGAAACTCAATTTTTGTGAGAAATTCTTGCATAGAGAAATATGAGCTGAAGTTAGTCATAATTTGCCTATTACTTCGACTTCCAACAGAGCACGACCACCGGCAACAGCAGGTCTGATGTCCGTTTGGTTTGTTTTAACATGGTTCTTCTTTAGATCGCCAAACTCATCACCAGCATCCTGAAATTACTATGATATGTAAGTTGAATGGTAGATACCAAAAGCTGAGAAAAGCAATGCAACAAATAGCTTTTCAGGGAATGCATATATTACGCTTGAAGAAAATTCGTGTATAGATACACTTTGTTGCAAGACTCTAAAGTCATGATGACATCAGAACACAATCAAGACAACAATCGGAGATCCTTTCACCATTTGTAGATGAAACTGATAATTTAGAAAAACCAACAACAAAGCATACATCTTGGTGGTCTCAACAATCACAAGTTAACAAAAGGTCTTTGATCCATCCGCAATGGTCCATGCGTCAATTAACTTTCAAACTGTATAATAATAATATATTTGTTTAGATAAAAGAACAAAATCTGTTGGACCAGTGATTGCAGAACTATCCATTTCTACCTTGAGACTGACATTGACTCGATCAATATCCTCGAAGTACGCAAAGACACCATCCTTTTGGCGCCATCCCTTCCAGACCTGAGTCAACTAATGAGAAGTTGCAGTCTGAGACGATTTCCTCCATTTCTCACGCTGGACCTCCACTCTTCTTAGCTCAGCTTCCATTGCTTCTGTGTTTGATGTATCTACTTTCTTCTCCATTTAACTTCACAGATTCTGCAACTGAATCTTCTTATCCATCAATCTCCTTCTCACTTTCATTAAATCAGATTCAATGTTCTTCAAAGTGCCCATATTCTCATCCTCTTTCTTCTTATCCAGTGACTCTTTTGCGCAAACTTGGACTCTCTCTGTAAATATTTTGATATAACAGCCTTTGTTTGTTTGTAAGCGCTTCTTATCTGCAACTCGACCTCTCTCTTTGTTTGTCCGACCTCTCCCAAGTTCTCTGCTAAAGAACAAACAAAAAGGTGAGAAATTATGCGTACGTCATCAAAGAGGAAATTACAATCGCACATATTTAACATGAACAATAATGCGTCTCGCTGCGTTGAAACTAAATACGACTTAAGCTTCTCAATGTTTGTTTTAATGGGTTTGTAACAACAAATCCTTGCATAACATATAATAAACATGCTAGATCCATTAGAAAACTGTCCATTTGAGTGGAACCACCTAAGCTGAGCCAAAAGAGAAGTTATCAGACCATATAACCAATACAAAACCTTCGAAATCCGAAGTTGATAACAAAACAATAAAAATATCTCACAGATTCAAAAGCAGAATGTCTGGTCCTTGGATCGATACGCCGACCATTCAGGTCTGAGGGGACGAAGAAGAAGAATAGAAACGCTTGGAAGCCAAGAGAAAAACTTTTTGATCAACAAACAAACAAAGTAACCAGATTCGTGTGTGCTGACGTGGAAATAAAAAAACCTCTTATTGGCTGATTATTTTTGGTGACATGAACAGTATGAGAAACCTTTATTTAGCCCCTTTAATAATGTACTAGATCATAACCCGTCCGACTGGGCGGGTCTTTGTTTTTATGGTATATATAACATTTCAAAATTACTATTTAATGGTTCCAATTTTACTAAGTAATAGTCTACTGTTTAAATATTGTATTTTATCATTGTATTGTGTAACATGGGCGTCGTAAAATGTTGTGACCCGTAAACATTTTAGTAATAGTTTATAAAGTTTTTTTGGCTAAATTTGGTGCAAAGATATATACACTAAATAATTTAGTCAAATTGTTAAGTTAATTTTTTAATGAAGAATTGGAAGGCTAGTATATAACTGTTAAAAACTTATAACAATAGTCAATATAAATTATATAAATAAAATATATATTATTCTTGATTTATTCTAAATACATTTAAAACATGAATACATATATGTATAAATAATTTTCAAAAGTAAAGTAATATCAATGATAGAAAACCCAAAAACAATAATAATAGTACCTTGAGCCGCAATAATCTTTAGCTTAATAAATAAGCTCATTAGATTTGTAGGCTATCCTTGTTTCCAATCATCATAATTTTAAATATTTCCTATTCATGTTTCCAAACACTTAACTTTTTGTACTTCAGCTTTACTAGTATAGATATATACTAGGTGTTTTACCCGCACATGCGGGCTTAACAATTTTATAATTCCTTATTATTAGTAAATGCATTACCAACTATAAATATAAAATTTGTATATGCTATAATTTGATTTTAAAAAAATATTTATTATACTATTATTAGTAAATATATAAATAAATAATTCAATATTATTTTTCAAATATATAAAATTAAGAATGGCTTATTAATATTATTTTATGTATTTTCTGTTTATGAGTTTTTAAATTTTATTGTTTTATAAAAACTATTTTTTGGATAATAACACAATATATATATAAGAATTATCTTTTTAAAACTAAAATATATATTTAGATTTTGAATAATTATTCTTGTTATTAGTTTGAACAAATACTCTAGTAAAATAAGTATTAACTTAGTTTTTATTTTTAGCTAATTTATATAGTTTAAGGATGCATGTATCCTTGTTCCCTACAATAAAAAAGTAAGATAATTCAACATAAACTAATAAAAATCATCAAAACTAATATTGTAGTGTTATTACAATTGCATCTTCTAAAACCATCTCAATACAGACAATTTTTCACAATCTTATAATCTGAACCTTTAATTTGTATAGATTGTTCCCTGGTTTAATATTATTAATCAAAACTAAAGTAGTTGGCTTCCTACGTAGATGAGGCATGTTTTGCACTAAGTAAAAAATCGTTTATTTAGATATAAGAAGGTTTGCTTTCATATAAGAAGGTTTGCTTTCGAAGCTTTTAAGGATATGGAGTTTAACTTAACGTATATATAGTATATATACAGCCTTGTTTAATTGGTTTGTCTTTTTTTTTTGAAACACTAATTGGTTTGTCTAGAAAGATAAGTCCAAAGATAATAAGGATAATAACAAATAAAGATAAAAACCAAACAAATGTCAAAATAAACTAAATCATATTATCAAAAGGAGATATACCTCATTCTTCTTTTAATCTTTATATACTATTTAAATATACAGATAATTTTGATTCAATAAAATAATCGTAAAATCTACGTAAACATATAATGATCCATTAACGTACCTATCTCTATAATATTATTTGAGAAGTCAGTTTCCTATGTGTCGCGCTCATGTTAACTCTCGCGATGGTTGATTACATAGATACCCTTCATGAATTGTTAGATTTTAAGTTTATTATTAATTTTTTTTATTTAGTTTCTTATTTTCCCTTTTCCAAATAACATATATAATAAAAAGGAAATATTTCTAAAATTTTAAAACAGATTTAAAAACGAAAATATATGTATATTATATGACTTTATTAAAAAGGAAAGTTCACAAAATAGCAATATACCCCATTAATATATATTTTTAAATAACATATAACTAGGTGATTTTCCCGTGCTCATGCACGGGCATGTATATTTATAAAATAAATATACAATAATAATTAATTGATATTTATTTTAATTTTTAAATTAATTTATAGTTTGTATGCCTAATTTATATTATAATATTCTATTACTTTAATTATATATATAATTTTAGATATGTAATATTTAGTCTATTTTATTGTTTTTACAGTCGATTTAGTTATCATTTAGATATATTGGATTTTATCTATTTCTCTGAATTCAACTATAATCTTTTATATTTTAAATATATTAAAATTTTGATTAATTGTCTTATTTTCATTTATGCTGGTTGTTATTTTATAAATATAAGTATATTTAGTAAGATTATATATAATTTAAGATTTTTTTGTGGTTGGAAGGAAAACAAATAAAAACTAAATGTCTGATTCTAAATAACATACATAAGTAACTAATGAATTTTTAGAAGTTTTTGAACACATATGAATATTTACAATAATTAAAATATTTTATAGATTTTAAATAAATTTATGCTTTAGATTGATTGGATGGTAAACTGAATTTTTTTTAAAAAATAATTTATGAATAAGGATTCTGATTTGCTTAAGTATTTTGATCATGGTTATATTAAGTTTCACAAACATAAAAACAGAAAAATCAAAATCAAAAAATTTATTAAGAAAACAGATAATTTTAACTATTAAAATATAATATATCTACCTCATTAAATTATATAGTGTTATGGTATTTTAAAATAATTGTAAGTATTTTCTGTTTTTATGTTTGTGAAATTTAATATAACCATAATCAAAATACTTAAGTAAATCATAATTCGTATTCTTAAAACAGATAATTTTAACTATTAAAATATAATATATCTACATCGTTAGATTATATAGTGTTATGCTATTTTAAAATAATTGTAGTTACTTGATCAAAAGATGTTTATTATTAAATTTAATTTTAGTTTTATTTTTAGTATCTCTTAAAATAGTCAGTAAAAAGTGATTGTTTTTGAGAAATTATACTATATAAGTAAAATAGAATTTATATTTTTACTGTAATTGTAAGATATTATAGTAAAATAAATATACTAAAAAAATAATTTCAATAATACTAATTATAAAAAATGTCAATTAAACATATATCAGTTTATTTTAGTTGATTATCTTATGTAATCATCTAATAAAATAGATAGATATATAGAAAAAAATTATTTTGAAAATATATATATATTTTACTGTTTAGTTTTTTTTTAAATATTTCTTTTTCTAATAGCAATATTTTTTTGTGTGAAATCTTTTTATAAAATCACATTATATACAGATATTGTTTTTTATCTAAGAAGATATAGATATAAAGTATTTTATTACTTCAAAGGTATATTTTATGTTATTTAAAATATATTTAAATTAAATATTACTATTTTGTGAACTTTCCTTTTTTTATTAAACCATATTATATATACTTATATTTCGTTTTTAAATAGTTTTGTAAATTTTATAAATGTTTCCTTTTTATTTTATATTGTTATTTGGAAATTTTTAAAAAGGAAATAATATTTAATTGTATTTTTAATTCATTAGGGGTATCATAGTAATCAACCAACGTGAGAGTTAACGTGAGCGCGACACCTAAGAAAGTGACTTCTCAAATAATATTATAGAGATTTGGAAATTTTTAAAAAGGAAATAATATTTAATTGTATTTTTAATTCATTAGGGGTATCATAGTAATCAACCAACGTGAGAGTTAACGTGAGCGCGACACCTAAGAAAGTGACTTCTCAAATAATATTATAGAGATATTTTCAAAATTATAAAATATATATGTTCATGAACATCCAAAATTTATCAGTTACAATTTTTTTTCTAATATTTTTAGAAATCAAGATATAATTTGATAAATATCATGAAAATACTTGTATATTTAAACGATAAATAAAACTAATTTGATTTGACTTAACTAAAATAAGGAATAAATAAATATTATGAAAATACATGTATATTTAAGCGATAAATATAACTAATTTTATTGGACTTAACTAAAAAAAAAAGTAATTATACTTCAATTTTAACTCAATATACTCACAACATGATTGACTCGACTAATCTAATTTATATCCAAAATTAAACATCTAACTACAATAAGAACATATAATTTTATAGTAATAACAATCTATTTAATTTTATACATATAAATTAGAGGTTGACTCAAAGCATATTAAATAGAAAAAGAAAATATTAACCA